TATGTTTAGAAACTTCATTTGAGGACGAATCTGAAATTATATTTTTATGACATGTAAGACATTTTTTAGCTAATGAAAATAAATACTAAAAACATTTTTTTGAACGTTAAATAAAGACTAAAAACTGGTGCTCGATTTATATACCCATCCATCGGGAGGGAGTACGAACAGTTTGGTGTCCTGCTGCTCACCAGCTGCCCAAAACTAAGAAGCGAAATGCAGGGAAAGGAGGTATTTATTTACAGTGGTTTGTTCGTAGTCCTATTCACCAGCTCTACTCATTACCGTATAATATACAACACGCATGTGATGTGTCAGGCTGTAACCATAACAAAAGAAGCAAAGACCGGCTGAGATCGCATCGATGACTTGTACCCCGCAGTATCCTCGGCAGTCGGCACACGCTAGATCTGGCTCCTGACCAAAATGACATTTTCTTAACATAGACCTGGTAGCACACACCGGCCCACCATTGCCGCTCCCCTTTCACGTGCAGCAGTGCTGCAATCAATGCCACTTGCCACCCCACTTGGCTGTTTTGTCTTTGTCCCCGGACTGTTTCGAGTACCTTTTTCTTGAACAGGACAAGGTCTCGAAGGACCCAGATTTTAGTATTAGATTGAGCTAGCCAGAAATACAATTCTCCAAAGGACCTCTGAGAAGATGAAAATACAAGCTAGTCCACAAACTATGCCAGGAGAACCCCAGATAAACTGGATAGATTACAAAACGAGCCGACTACGGGTTTTCCAGCATTGCCTCGAACTCTCAAACAGAGTTTCTACGCATGGCGGCATCAGGGCTCCTTTGATTCAAAGGAATTATTTAGGATTTTTGGAGGATTGAAATCCTTAAATTTTTTTTCTATATCAGCTCTTTGATTCATAGGATTGGATCCCATAGGAATTTATCCTATGGAATTTTTTGTACTACATTTTATAGAAAATCTAACATCCACTCCAACCTCTTTTTACAATTCCTTTATTTTTCATGTGACATCAAACACTCTTTGCTAATCCTATAGGATTCAAGTTGACATGCCACTGCAATCCTATACTTTTCCTATTCCTACATTTCCAAAATCCTGTGAATCAAAGAGGCCCTCAATGTGCGCACGGAATCGAGGCCTTACGTGTGCGCGATGAGATCGTGAAAGAAGGTGGCAGGCTTTTAGGCCTTGTGATTGATGTTCCATATACATAGAGTACCTCTTATATGATGGTTTCAGTACAAAACGGGCACAGGTTAGGTTGTGATACGGCCGTCCTGATCGAGCGCCAACTTTTACCTGTCTTGTATGCATTTCCGGGGCCCGGGGCGTGGGAGAGAAACATGTACCTGTCTTGTGGTGGCGCCAACTTTTCCGGGCGCGTGCCTCTAGCCTGCTGCTTAAGCTTAAATGCTACGTCTTGGCCAGGACGCATCTAGGCAGCCAGTTTGGAGTACATTCGGCCAGTATGGAGTTCATCGACATGAACGGTGGCTTATGGTACTATTAGAAAGCTGATTTTATTTTCTTGCGTTGTGTCATTTGTTGATGCTGAATCTTCGAACTTCCTGCCCCAGGTCAACAGATAGTTTGATACCACCATCATCTTTCTCTCGTCGGCCAGTCAACCAGTTCGGCGGCACCGATCAGCAGTGTTCATCTGGTTCATCCAGAGCTGTTGAGAAAGCTAACTGTGCAGGAGGTGAGAGATCTAAGTTCACCAATGAGGCGTCGGGAGAGTGCTGAAGATTCCTCTCCACGGCGTGATATATCTGAGGCTGGTGGGTCTTTCTGTGGGACGGAGGCTACTGCTTCGAGCTTGCTCGTCGGTGGTAGTGCGGATTTGGTAGAGCCAGACGAGCTGAAGGATGACGCTTGTGGCGAGGCAACTTCTGGCTGGTCGAGAAGGTGACATCTTGATTTTTTCTGTATAGGAATTCATCGAGTTATTTTTCGTTTGTTATTTTACTGCCCTTGATAGGCCATCTTTGCGTAGGTTTTTGTGTGTGTAGAAAAACGGCCAAACAATGAATCTGGCTTATTTATGCATTTATATACTGTATTTGTTAATGCTGATAACGTAATTTCTTCTATCTACACTACTATTAAACAAGAGAACATGACGGACGAAAACTCTGCCAGGCCCACGCTTGCACAAGAGAAACAATCCACGCCCGCACACAAGGGAAACAATCAAATAACCCACGTCCAATTTATATGGAGAGAAAAAAAACAATCGCAAAAGGAAACCACACGTCCGTTCCGCATGCATTGTTCAACAATACAGAAAGAAAGTTGCTAAATTAGCGGCAACCAATTTATTTTCCCCCGCCGCCGCCGCCGTTCCACCGTTCCACGTTGCCATCCAGGCGTACAGGTTAACCCGTGGCATCGCTGCCCTGGGCAGCCGGAGAGACACCTGACCACGACGGCAACGACAAGCTCTTCGGCGACACAGGTGCAGCGCCCAGACTAGCTGAACTCTATTGTCATCCAGACGTCTAGGTTTACCTGCGCCATCGCTGCCCTGCGCAGACAGCAAGGCACCAGACGACGGCCGCAACGATGAGCTCTTCGTCAATACAGGTACCACCCAGACTGTCTGAACTTTGTTGCCATCCAGGCGTCCAGGTTGACCTGTGCCATCGCTGCCCTGCGCAGCCGATGATGGACCCGACGACGGGTGCGACGAGCTGACCTGCCCTGCGCCATTCACGTCCGAGCTCTTCACCAACAAAGGTGCACTTCGTGAGGCTTTTACATGCCGCCACCACCCAGACTGTCCCGCGCCATCGCCGCACTGCGTGTACGACGACGTCACAACGCCGATGAACTGCTCCGCAGGTGCATGCTTATTTGCCAACATGGGCCAGTGTGATCCATTTGATTGATCCTCTTGCTTTTCTGCATATTATAATGATAAAAACATGTTGGCATTCTATAATTTATCAAAAACAAGAATGGATCTTATGGCATGAGCATATGCTAACATGATCCCTATTGTACGTACCCGACCTAAACCTGAAATCGTACCATGAAGCCTTGGCAAATGCACATGGTACTGACCTCACCTAAAAGCCTCACCAAGCTGCATATGGTTCACCCATTGCTCAGTTAAAGTAATATGAACATAAAAAAGGCCACACTCTGAAAGAGACCTAGATGAATAGTATTACAAACTACTACATCCTGTTACATTATGCCAAGTATATTAATGCAAATTGAATTCATTTGGGTAGCAGACCTAGATGAATAGTATTACAAACTATTATATTCTGTAGCATTATGAAAGTAAATTAATGCAAATTGAATTCATTTGGGTAACAAACCTAGATGAATAGTATTACAAATAACTACATCTTGTAGCATTATACTAAGTATATTAATGCAAATTGAATTCATTTGGGTAAGCAGAGGCACCACAAGAAAGCTCTGAAGGTAAACAGTTGGTGGGAGTTGAACATAAAACTCTACTATGTCTGTATTCCGGTAATACTATTCCTTCAAAGATAGTTGTATGATAACACTCTTGACATTCACAGGGTTGAACGACTTCGTATAGCCCCTACCACTCCCAACAGGTAATGATCATAACCCAATCACTCGATTGTTGCTCAACTGCTGAATTGTGTCATGATTTGCAGACCCTAAAGAAATAAAAAGGCGGATGGATAGAGAGCAATATGCACAAAATAGGGATGAGATTAATAAGAGACGGCGTGAGGCCTACAAACAGAAAATTTTTTTGCCGCTGCCAAGATCAATGGCCTAAATAACAGAGTACACACACAGTTGGCTGTATCACAAGGTAACGATGATCAACTTCATGATATACGGCCCAGTTGTATTACTATATAATGATCCATTCTTCATATATTCAGACCATAATGAGATTAAGAATCGGATGGAAATGGAGTGGTATGCACAAAATAGAGAGGAAATATTAAAGCGACAACGTCAAACCCGCAAGCAAAATAAGCATATTGTTGCCGTCCTCAATGGCAGTAACATTGTGTCACACATGCCAGCTACCG